TCCTTTCCCATGCTTATGTGCTCTCTCTAAAATAAAAAAGAAAATTAAAAACTCTTAAAAGTATGAATGATGTCTTTTTTTAGGTCTATCTTCTGATTCTTTACAATAAACTCCTATCACTTTGCTAAGTTGAGATTTTTGTTAAAAAAGAGCAGGGTAACTGTGTGCCATGCCGGGTGGCAGCCGGTTCCAGGCCCCGTCCTGCCCCTGGCCCACCACAGTACTGTGAGTGCTTGGTGCCTCTCTGGGGCATTTAGTGGTGCAGAGCAAGGGCCTGGTAACTTCTTGTGCTACCTGCAGTGTGTTAAACATTTTTTGACAAAATGAAAATGCTGGTCATCAATATGCACGGTCGATAGTCTGTAAAGAAAGCGTGCGAAGGGACGCCAACAGTTGGGCTCATTGTGTGTCACGGATACTTTTAACAGCTGTGCCAGTAAGAACTAGCTGCAGGTACCGTGACGCAGGGAATTCTACGTTGCCGTACTCGTGCAGAGGGAGTTTCTTGGACTGCATGCCACCACGTTCCTTTTTCTGTGTTGCCAGTGATGCAGCCATGGGAAGGGTCTGATCTGTAATCCGCAGACCGGCACTCTCTACGCGGAGTGCAGTCTGCTTGAGGATACGAAAGGGTGACACAGGACACATAACGCCATCTCAGTGGGAGTGAATACCCTCAGGTTCCCACGGCGGGGCCATCCGAATGGGGAGCTCTGCTCTGGGCTCCAACAGAGGGCATCTGCTTATGCTCTTCCAGCAGGACTTTGGGGTTGATATCCTCTTTAACGATACAAACAAAGCAAAAATTAGCATTTACAGTAAAACCTTGGATCGGGAGTAACTTGTTCTGTGAGTGTTCCGCAAGACGAGCAAACGTTTCTCACAAGTTTTAACTCGATAAACGAGCGACGTCTCGCAATACAAGTAGTTCGTGACCCCAGATGTCACACGATCCCAACTGAGCCAGTGGCTCTTAAAATCCACTTCGGTATGCAAGCCCTTTGGATATCACGCGTGTTTCCAGAATGGCCCACAACTAGAGAGACAGAACACCTGTGAGAAGGGGAGCCACTAGTTTTGACTAAAGGATGCTGGTCAGAGCATTATTGCCATAAGAGCCGGCAAGGACTGTTTCCCACGGACTGTGACCTTGGCTGACTGTCGCAGCTCCACAGGTGCCCTCTCTCCCTGCACATCTGTTAGCTGATTCTAGCCTGCAGGTGTGCCCGGAAAGGGAACTCAGAGGCTGGAGTCTGTGGCTGGAGTCTGATCCCAGAGTACCCTACCTAGTTCAGATTTGGGTGAAAATGGAGGGAAAGAACGGACAGGTGCACAGGTGCATTCTTCAGGGTGCTCACTGGGTGGGCTGCAGACCAGGTGGCAGTGAGGAGGCTGCTGCAGGGGGTGTGGCAGAGGGACAGTGGCTCAGAGGACCACGCGAGAGGGGAGGGGAGGCCAGAAACATGGAGAGGGGTCTGGATAGGTTGGATGATCAGATTTCACGGCTGGATAGGGAGGGAGGAGCCAAAGAAAGAGGCGTCTTGGTGGGTTTTGGGGAACTTCTAAGAGGAGCAGCGTTGTGACGAACTAGGAGCAGCGTTGTGACGAACTAACTGCAGCTGGGGTTTGCTGAAGGTGCACGCTCCCCACTGCTGCCTTCCCTGGAATGGGAGCCTCAAGGGCGACTGAAGGTGGAAAGGGGAACAGCATAGTGAGAACTAATTTGGGGAGAAAGGGGTGTATGTTTTTCAGCCTCACAGTAAACTGGTAGGCTTGAAGATGGGCACTTCACGGAGTAGAAAAGCTTGATTGAAGGTGTGCACGCAGCGTGGTTCCTTTCGTGCCTCGGTTCCTCTTCCATGGAGAAAGTGGATCCGTTTCCAGAAGGTTCTCTATTGGCCCCAAAGCGACAGGCGCCTGGAGCTCGTGTAGACAGGAGAGCTTGTTTCCACACAGAACAACAGCCCATGGTTGATCCGTGCGTAGTTTCTGGGTTCTAGTTAAAACCGGCAGCGTTGGGTTTTGTCGGTTCTGGGTGACTGCTTCACAGTGGGCTTGCCATCTGGACCCTTTTCAGGATTCGAAGCCAGTGAGTGAGTCAGAGTATGTTTGTGCGCCCACTTGTGTACTCTGTTGCTTTGTGCCTAACAGTCTGCCTCTCAGCTAGTTGATTTGTAATTTTGCAGTTTTAAAAATAGAAATTGAAACCAATGCTTAGAGTTTATGGAAATCAGATAGCAAATATGTACACTATTTTGTACCAGGTGATTCTGCTGTTCAAAATATAACTGAAGTTCGTGGGCTGTGTTTCAGAAAGCGCCATCCTCTGTGTTTCTTAGAAAGAAGCTTCTTGTCCGCCTTCCCTCACGAGCCCTCTTTCTCTGCCCCTTTTGCAGAACGTGTATGTAAACATAAACCGCATAATGTCGGTGGCAAATCGCTTGGTAGAGTCTGGCCACTACGCCTCTCAGCAGATCAAGCAGATTGCGAACCAGCTGGAGCAGGAGTGGAAGGCATTTGCGGCAGCCCTGGATGAGCGGAGCACCTTGCTGGACATGTCCTCCATTTTCCACCAGAAGGCTGAGAAGGTCAGTGCCCGGGCCCCACGGCCCACGGGGTGGTGACAGGAGGACTTCCTCCTTCGATACCCTCCCAAGTCCTTGGAGGACTTTTGTGTGACCCTTATAGTGCCTAAGAACATGAGCTCTGAAGCCAGGCTGCTGGGAGTTAAAACCCCAGCTCTCTTACCTGGTGCTGTGCAATCTTAGGCAAGCTACTTCACCTCTCTGTTCCTTGGTTTTCTTGTCTGTAAAGTGGAACTAAAAGTATGTGCTTGAGAGGAGTGATTTATCACATAAATGAGATATTTCGTACTAGGTGCCCCGTGTAGTGCCTGGTAAGTAGTGTAAGTACTGTAAGTACTAATAAGTGGTAGCCACTATTCTTGTTCCCTCTTCTCCCTTCTCCCCACTCTACTTCCTTCCTTCCTTCCTTCCTTCCTTCCTTCCTTCCTTC